TGGGGTAAGGTAAAGGGTACTTGTTTTATAGCCTTTTCACTTTCTAAAAGATCCATAACTTTTATCATTTAAAGATTTTTTAATTCATTTGATATTCAAAGAACTGCAAGATTTCAAATTTGATTAAATGCTCACCATCTTTAAAATAACATAAGTTCTTTTAATTATCCTTACAAAAAAGCTGAGAAAGGGTAAAAAACAAATTCAAAAAAGATGTTGCAAATGGAATAAATCTTAATGATGGATAAGATGATCTCTGCATGTTTAGGATGCCCAATTCGAGTTCGTCATCCATTGTTCAACCAAATCTCGAGTTAAAGTTCTATTACTGACGAGTATCTCTATTTTTTTCATTAATGGACCCCAACTCCCTGTAGAATGCCCAGGTGCTCCCATGTGGAAATCACAGACATTATCTTTGACAAAGCTATGACCAGAAGGGCTTGGCAATACTTTCATTGGTCTAAGAGTGATATGTTGACCTTTAACAAGATGAGGGAACAATTCTGATATGGGTGTTTGAAACACCTCTAAAGCTTTTCTAACTCGAGGAATATTCTTTGGTCAATCCGAGCGACTAGCTGTCCGCGAATTGTGACTACTAAATATGGTCGGAAAAATATCTGCAAGTATACACAATTGAACAAGTAATACAGTGATGAGTGAGTATTGTATCCACAGAGATTGGAGGAAATTTATAAGTTTAATCAAAACAACTATCTACTTTACCTAAGTATTGTTAGTGATGGTATGTACAAATGAGAATATTGTGGCAAAATGAAATGGATGTTGGTGGGAAAGGACTAATGGTGTAATGTAATGTAGTAGAAAATGGAGATGTCGTGGCAAAGTGGATGAAAATGTCTTGGCAAAACTAAATTGAGTGTAATGGAATCAATTGAAAATGCAAAGGCAAAACAAAATATAAATATTGGATTTGATTAAAATGACTTTAGAATCTTCAAACAACAAGCTACTATAGGAATGAATGGTAGGAGTCACTTAGGAAACCTAAGTCTAACTTCTCAGGATGGTCTTACTTATATGTCTTATTTTCCAGACAGAGTTTAATAAAGGTGCCCTATGCTATCTCTAGTCAAGGGACTCGACAGGTTGAGGATGCCATGGAAATACCTCTTCGCGTTAGCATTTGCAGGATCCTATTGGTTCAGATAACATAATATGTAATGGCAATACCACTCAGTGTCAATAATAGCATCTAACCTCTTGACCGAGCACTACTCCTTTTAGTCTATTGAAATCCTAGCCTTATGTCTAACTAAGGTTGGATTAGGTCTAGTTATTATCTAGAACCCCTTTTTTATGTGGATTCTCCCTAGTTTCTCTTGAACACTAAATATATGCTACTTAGTCATTCTCTCGAACACTAAGCATTCTCCTAAGGAATGGATACTCTCATAGCTCCTATAACCTTAAGGTATTAAACATAATAAGTAAAACAAATAACAGCATACAAAAACAATATCCATTAAAATAAAACTTAAGTATCTATAAGAAACTCCCACCAAATAAGACTAGTTCATGGTGGGGTTCGAATATTCCAAGTAACAAGGCATAAAATTAATCCGTTCCTTACAACCCAACTAAGATAAATGAAAACAAATAGCAAATGGATGGAGGAAAAGCCTTCGACATGCACTGTCAGAGCTCCCATCATCCACCACAAACTACCCTAGCTTTCTAGCTCCTCTCGGAATCCTAGCTCGTTACTCCCTATATCTTGTTAATGGAAGAATGCCACTGTAAAAATGGCTGACGGAAAAAGGAGAAACCTTTTTCTCTCTAAAATTAAGCTCAAAATGGCGTGTAAAAGTCTTTTAAATCTGGTGGCTTCATCTATTATTTATAGTGGGAATAATACTAAGAATTTGTGTTAAAATTCCTAGGATACCCAGACTTGGTCTCCTTCACGTGAAGGGGTGTAGCAGAGCTGGCAGTGGTCTCCTCTTAGGCAGCAGAGCATGGTCTTCTCCTGGGAAGCTTGCAACTGGGCATATGTGCCGGCAAGATCAGTGGGCCCATGTGTTAGATGTTCCCTCCTATGTGACTAGCAGTTGGAGGCACGTGAAGATACTGACAGCTGGTTCTTGAAAACATCTTTTTTCTTCTTCTTCACTTTCAAAATGACGTCCGAGTTGGTATTTACATTAGCATTCCCATCATGTCATGGAAATTCTCCTCGCTTATCCTTGCTCCCAAATCATGCACATCATTAGACAAAACACCTTCTCAATAACGCAGTACCGTTTATAAAATAAAATGCCTCAGCAACATATATTTTCATCACATGCAACTATATGCTCCTAAATGCATCTATATGATCCTATATGATCTCTTAGACAGTTAATAACTTAAGTGAAAAGGCCCTAAATCTGGCCTTTTTACAGAGTTATCACACCCTCAAACTTAAGTTATTACTTGTCCTTAAGCAATGGATAATATTAAGCAAAATAAAAATATCATAGCAAGTTCAGTTTCAAGCTAGTCATATGGGATAGAATTTCAGCCCTCAGCACAGTTTGCTTCAACATGCTAGACTAGTTTGAGAAATCAAATATTATTCCTTAAGACAAGATCCTTTGTGTGAGTGTGTGTACTTGTATCAAGTCAATACTTAACAAATCTAGAAAAATTTTAAGCAAGCTCTTTTATCTTTCCACGACATTTAAAAGTTTACTCCTACATTGTTTTCTTATTTTTTAACTGCTACGAGGGGAGTCAGCCCATCACAGCTACCATCCCACACTCTAGGTGAAAGAGAGCATACCTTCTACCCCGAGCTAGTTAGGTAGAGTTATCCCATGAGTATTTTCATTTACTCGTATGATGTCGCTACCATTTATTTAAATGTAGTTTCCAAGAAATGTCGTGGCATAACGGAGTGTCCCTCTATAGATATGCCAAAGCATTTATTTACAATTTTTTTTAACATGTGGGGTTTTCATCATTCAATGACATTATAAAAGTTTTATGTTAAGGTATTAAAGAGTTCTCTTATAAAAATATTTTAAGTTCCTTAAGCATGGAAAACTTACAATCGTGTATCAAAAGTTACAAATAAGAAAGACCTAGAGTTGGTTCTATCATCCTCAACAGTCATATACATTCAATTCTAGCCATAAAGAGTTCATCATCATCGGGCATCATTAATTTATTCCAGAAAACTAATGTGAACACATACTAATGTCATGGAATATTCATTCTACTAATACTATCATGCAATGACTTAAGAACCCTACCTCCCCCAAACTTGAGGGAAGCATTATCCACAATGCTAAATGAAAACAAAGTTAAAACTAGACTACATGATATACAATGCAGTACAATGCAACGTACCCTGACTACTTATGCTGGTGGTGGTGTGATAGTTGTGTGACACACGCACTTATACAATAGGGTGAGCTAGAGTGTTCAGAATCTAATGGTGGTGTATTAGGGGGTCCTAAGCCCTTTAGGGATCAGGAAAAATTTAGGCTCCTCACGTCGAGATGCCTTCTTCAAATGGTATCCACTCTTTCGTAGAGGGATTTGTTGTGGCATTTCTAATTGTACATCCTCAAGTGTCTCAGTGGGTTGCGGGGGTGTTGGTAAGGTTGAGAGCTGGAGCTCGGTTTCTAAGGACAAACAGGTGGTTTACCTCCCTTTCCATTGACAAGTAGAAGACATCTCCTCAAAGGCTTGGTGATATCAATTTCGATATGAATACGGAGGAACTCACCTAAGGTGCCCCCATCATACGCATATCAACAGCAACCACCGTACCAATAAGTGACCTTTTCATTTAGACAAGTGATAATAAGTTAACATAATATGTTAGGTCTTTAGAATGCGTCAAATAGCTAATAATACACAAAATAGATAGGTGACATAAATTAAGTTGACTTTTTATGCAAAGTTTAACTTTGAATGCTTAATACATGAATTGTATGTTAATTTATGAAGCATCCTACATATGTATTATAACATGTTCTAAGTTATTCAAGTATGTCCAAACATGATTATAGACCTTAGGATCAATTGCATGAAAATTTAGTGGCATGTTCTTGCTTGTTCATATGTATTTCTGCATTTTTCTAAAAAAAAAATCAATCCTTTGGCATAAAGTATCAATCCCCTATGGAAAAGGATTGACCCCTTCGTGGACTTTGCATACTGGAATACAAATGATCGATTCTCATGAAAAGGGACCGATTCCTTGTGCTTTGACTCGTTAAAAAATGATAAAATTTGGTTTATTAAAGGTCCTAAATTCAAATGTTAAATTAATATTCTATCTAAAGTTCAAGGGTTAAATAAAAAATCAACCCCTCATATAAACGTGTCATGTAATCAAACTAACAAGAGTTAACAACTCAGCAATCAAAAAGTAACAATCAATAGCATAAGTAACAAAATTTTAATAAATGGCAAAAGGGTAATTTTGTACCTGTAGTAGACCAATTTATCATTTTTGCGCCTATCATATTTTCACATCAATTTAGCCCTTGAAGTTGCTTAATTGCATCATTCTATATATTATCCCTCACTTAAAACCCTAAATTGAGGGGTTTAAGTTAGAGATTAAGATTTAGGGTTAAAGGTTTAAAGGTTATAAGGTTATGATTTAGGGTTTATTATTATTAATTTAGGGTTTTAAGTTATGAGTAAGGTATAGAATTATGCAATTAAATAACTTTAAGGGTTAAATTGATGCGAAAATACAAAAATAATAAATTGAGTCTACTATAAGGGCAAAAATAATTCTTAAGCCTTAATAAATCAATAATGTAAGGACCAAAACGTAACTTTTTTTATTTTGGTGAGTAAAAGTGTATAAATATGCAAGAAAAATGATCAATTCGATAGTTTACTCATTTTTTAATTTAAATTTAATTTATAATAATTGAATGAGTGTGTGTAAATTGATAGTTGAGATTAAAAATTGAAAATAAGAAATATATTAAAGAAAAATTCAAAAAATAACCCGAAAAAAGACGGAAGAAAAGGATTGAAAATCAAAGGATCATAAAACTAATCTCTTTAAACAACAATACAACACTTAAAGCCGTTGTGAAATGTCAGGCAATATTGAGCAAAAGCAGCAACAAAGCAGAGAGCAGCAAACTTTTGGGACTCAACTGGTTTGAATGTGATGGCAGTGGTGATGTTGTAGGACTTGGAGTTCCAACTGCTGTAGCATTTTCCTTCGTGCATGTGTAATTGCACCGACTCGGCGGCACGACTCGATAAACTCCACTGCTGGTTAGCAAGTAGATGTCTTTGCTATTGTCCTCGCCAAAAGAGAAAATGTAACCCAATGCTGCACTATCACTTCCTGGCACACTGCTGCATGGTAAAGGAGAGTCTCTTGCACAACCGAACTGAACTGTGCTCGTCGAAAAGTTTCCGCTGTTTTCGGGGTCTTCAGTTGCTGCCCATATTGCACCAGAATACAAATCTGCATACAGGTATCTTTGAAAAACACACAATCGTTAGAGATAACGAAGAACTTTTGGCTCAGACTACCAAAGATATGAAAAATAATGTCATCTATATGCAGAATCCTACTCCTTTTCTTACCTTCCATACATACAAGGATCAGTGTTGGACCGGTAAAAGTAGCCTCCTATAATTGAGGCTGATCCTATTTTCTTGTTTACTTCAGAGTGATTGTATCCCATAACTGAGAAAATGGGGTTTATGGAGTTTGCAGATGTGTTCCCTCCAGGCGATGATGTAGGATTAAAACGATACGGACCCTCATAAACACGCCAGCCGTAGTTTCCACCTTTGCTGATGATGTCAACCTCTTCGTATAAATCCTGTAGATTCATAAACTTCGAAATATCGGCACTGGGAAAAATATTCTCAACTCGAAATTTGATCTAACGTATTACACACCCTGCATTTTAGTTGCATCGAATTGAAACAAAGACACTGGTTATAGTAACCAAATAGAAAATGATATCAACAGACAACAGGTTTAAGCCAAAGACATCTTTGGAACTTCAAAATGGTCCAATATCAAACAATTTGTAAGAATATCAACCAGGGAGGATAAAGAATATCAACCAGGCAGGATTGACTAGTTAGTTTTCTGTCCATAGTCAGAAGAGAAGAGTCAAACCTCGCCGACGTCACCACACATCAAATAGGAAGGCCTCTCTGAATCGAAACTGCAGCGCCAAGGGTTTCTGAATCCATGAGCCCATATTTCAGGCAGCAAGTCTGAGTCTTCGCTAAATGGATTGTCTCTGGGGATGGAGTAGTTTCCCCATAGACCAAGTCTATTAATCTCTGATGCACCTGGAACAGCATATTGAGTGTCAGTTCAAATGAATGGCTAGCACCTGAATTGTACTAGTTTAGCAATGTTGATCCGTGACCAAAACAACTGTATATTCAATAAACATGAATGCCGTATAGACAAAGTTCTTGAAACATTTTAATTGCTTTAAAATTGCAGGTATAAATGAATCGAAACTGGCACGCACTTGGTATATTATCTACATCAAGCCTCATGATTTTGCCAAGCACTGATTTCTTGTTTTGAGCGAAATTGTTCGGATCACCATCACCGCCACCATCCCCCATCATAAAGTATAGATACCCATCTGTAGGTCCAAAAAGAATCTGTCCACCATGTTGAGAAGTATATGGAAGTCCCATAGTGAATATCCTTCTCACTTCTGATGGCCTAGCATTTACTGCCTGAAAAAGGGTTTAATTCATTTAGAATATTGTATCTAAAAAGAAGTTTTAAGTGCATGAAGATGTTTACCGAGGAAGGCTGAGCTGTAGAACCGTTGGCAGTATATTCTGCAACAACACTTTGATACTGACATGGCTGAGCACCATTGTCTGTACCGAGCTTTGAGGGATCACAGTTCACATCCGAGTTACAAGAGCATCTTCCGGTGCATCCTGGCGATTTACTCTTGTCACAATTGAATGAAGCAAAGAATCGGCCATTCTGTGCGAAGTTAGGATGAAATGCAATCCCCATCATCCCAAATGTAGTATCAAAATGAACTTCATCAGTAAGATCTATGAAGGGGTTGGATTCATCAAGCTCCAATGCTCCTCTAGATCCCACTTCAGGAATAGTCGCCAACCAAATATTACCTTGTTGATTGGAGAAGAATGCACGTCTTGATCCATCAGGGTGAGCAGCCATATCCAAGTAACTCCCATTCCCAATTTTCTCAAGGCATAAACCATGTGGAGCATCAGGAGTTCCAGTCTCATTTAGTTTAACCGGTTCGCCATCATAACAAACAGATCCATTAGTATATGCTCCACCAAAAGCATTGCAGAAATCAGTTTTGGACTGCCAAAGTTCAGTCAACTTGGTGAAGTTTGAATTGACGGGTGCTCCAGCTTGCCCTTGCAATGAAGGTGCGAAGGGGGAATTCAACATAGATACATTTTGACATGTATCCCACACATTAGAGCAGAAACCACTTGTTGCTTGGTTGGACTGAGATGAATCTGTTAAAACTGTAGCGTTGCAAAGTAGAGGCACCGGTCGAGGCAATGAATCAATTGTGAATAAGTTCGCTGAAAACGGATCACATCTCTGAAAATTATAAAAAAGGATGTAAACTCAGAAAAACATTTTTCCGGACTGAAAAGAGAGCCTCATTCAAGCTCATTAAAGAAGTTCCATTTAAGCAAATCGATCGCAGTGATGAGGAACCAGAACAAGTTACCAGTTGAGTTATCATAGTATTTTTTTCTTTTCTTTTTTTATAACATTATACTGAAAAAATTATCTATTTCTGCTGGGAAAATTAGAAGCTTCTATTGGTAGCCAAGGGTATTTGATTGTGCACTTGTAGATTCAATTTTCTCATCTATCACATTATTAGAGACCAAGTGACAATAATCTATGTTTACGTAGACAGCAAGTATAAGCTTCAGATACAGTTATGTTTCGTATACAGCTATATTCGAAATTTTCCAAGTTTTTCCATGCATCCAACCTGGCTACTTAGGAAGAATGACAATAATCATCACTCATCAAGAGAGGGGAAAATGAAGAATCTGCAAACCTTTTCACAAACACTGGTTATATGAATTATCACCTCCGCAAAAGCTTAATAGTTTCGCAAATTTGCGAGTAACTGAAAATACTACTGCATCAACTAAAAATACCTTTATGAAGTTGCAAACACATACAGTCTATCAAGAACTCAACAGGAAAACACCAACATAAAAATTTTCATTTCGGTTGTGCGAGAAGGATCAAGCAAAATGATTAGGTAGGAGATTTCAAGCCTATATCTACAGCCACACAGGGGCAAACAATGCAATGTTCAAAAGAAAACTCATATTCCAGTTTTCAAAAAAGAATCATTGCTTTATTCTAGATGACTACAACAAAATCTAATGAATCAAGTGTTAAACCAGTGAAAGGTTTGTAGTTGACTGAAACAATGAAAGAAATGAAGACTTACTGCACAGAGGACTGATTGCAGAAGTGAGGCACAGCCAGAATCAGAGATATTCATAGCTTGAAATTGCTTCTGCAATTGTGAATCTTCAGTGGAGTTGCAGCAGCTGCTTCCATTGTAGGAACAAAATTTCAATGGAGTCTTCAAGGTGATAGGTGCCTCTATGTCAAAAAAGAACGAAAACCCAGGAAGACACATTAATAAAGAAACACAAACAGATAGAAAATCAGTCTATGAAATGGAAACAAACAAGTTTGAACTTTGGGTTAAGAACTTACCTGAATTTGTGCACAAAGGAAAAGAAGTGGAGGGAGAAAGAAGCAACAGAAAATTGACGAAGATGAACACAAGATTATTAAGAGTAGAAACACGTTTCATTGAACCAAATTTGCAGAGAAATTTAGCCATTGATAGCATCAAAACATCTCTGAGCAGGGGTGAAAAAAGGATACCGAAGTTGACTTCAACAGAACATGTTATCAACTTCATATACAATAAAGGGTTTTCTTCCTTTCAGGCATCTCAACATTCTTCCCACTTACCCATCTATTCATATATCAAATCTCTTTGACTCAGCTTGAAGAAAGATATTGCGTTTTTTTCTCTCTCGAAAATCATTGCAATCTCTTATTGTACACAACGGAGAATTAATTATTTTTTTAACAAAACCAATTGTTTATTTATTTAGGGTAAATCACAAACCCTCGATTATAATGTATTACTTTATTAAATCTCAGACTATTAAAAGTTATAAAATAATCATCCGATTATAGTATGTTACTTTGTTGAGTCCATAAACTATTAAAAATTAAAAAATAGTCACTCAATTATGCATATGTTCCAAACTCGTCTTTTTGTACTAGAAAATTGATGACAATCTTAGTTGGACGTTAACCTATTGACTAAGATATAATAGTTAGCAGGTTAACATCCAACTCATGCTCTCGTTAAATTGTTAACAGAGAATGACGGGTTTGGAATATATGAATAGTCGAATGACCTTTTTGTAATATTTAATAATCAAGAACTCAACAAAGCAATATTATGTCATATAGTCAAATGACTATTTCGTAATTTTTAATAGTTGGGGTTCATTTATATACTTTACCATTTATCTATGGGTAAATTAATAATTTTTTTTTCATTTTGGTACCTAAACTTTATTTTTTAATATACTTAATGTTTACTTTAGGCTTCATTTTGATATCTCATAATTAAAAAATTAATGGTGATGTTGACGTGTTACTATAATATAATGTCACAATATCATTTTCAAAAAAAAATATCACTCCAGTATTTTTGTTAATTTTTAATGTAAGGTACCAAATTAAAAACATAAATTAAATGTTAGGTACTAAATATATAGTTTACCCTTTATTTATTTCATTGATTCTCTAAATTATTCCTCTCCGTAAGGAAGCCGGATTTAAACTTTTACTTTGATGTCTTTGAACAAAACAAGCTTTTTGACATTTTGAAACTTTAAAACGTTGAATATCATGAATTCATTACCAGTAGCTTTCGATCAGACCACGGGGAATGAATGCATTAGTTGACTTTTCCTCAAGCTTTTTGTTTGAGACAAAAGACAAGTGGGTGAGATTTTTTTTCCTCTCACTTCTAGAATTTTGTCCTAATTAATTCAATATATTTTATATATTTGATTTTAATAGATAAGTTTATCAACAAGAATTTTTTACATATATATATATAAAACCTCAAATTTGATATTGGGATGGGTATGAGTGAGGTTTTTGATCAATCAACTCGATCCAAAAATTATTCATCCTTCACGTGGCTTGACCCAACCCTACAAATATACATCTTCCACCCGACCCGACTTTTTGAGATGAAATCCGAACTCAACCCGAAATAATATATTATTGGGTTACGTATTTTTCACTCTAACATGACCCGACCCGAACATAATTTCTAAAAAACTCAACTCAACCCAACCTAAACCCGATTTTTAAAAAAAAAAATCCGATCCCATTGGGTCAAAATTTTTTAGACTCGAATTTCGTGCTCATCCCTACTCGAGATTTATTTAAATAATATTAACTTGTTTACTACTTGAACCAACTTGTTTGATATGTGGGTGAGACCTTAAAATTGTAAAATTAGTTTTTAAATTTTTGCACTTATTCTGCTGACCTAACCATCAAGTTGACAATGTTTTTATTTAATTCTTATCATCCACTATTCAGAACTGAAAGAGTTTTTAAATGGAAAAATAGACGGAAGGGATGACGTCAAAACTAGAAGAATCCAACGAAGAAGTATATTAGACTTTTGGATAATAATAAAATAAAGATTGGATTTTGGTAGAATTTGGCAAAAAAACCCAACTGGGTAGATTATTTGGCTCAATAGGGCAACAATAGGTTGTAAGACCCACGTGATACGACCCATTAAAAAATATATGTTATGAAACTTGTCACGCCGACATGACGAGTTTCATGAGCACTGTAGCATTTATTGTAGATCCCAAAATAATTCAAAATTATACCCGTTGGAACTCGTCACACCGGCGTGACAAGTTCCTTCAGCAATAAAATAATAATTTTTACAATGCTTTTAAAAATTTCAAAAAAAAATATTTTTTATTAGGACTTGTCATGCCCACGTGAAGAGTTTGAACATGCTAAAAATTCAACATACATAATACACTCCTTTCATCTCTTACACACACAACACATTCTTTCATCTTCAATCTCTCACACAACAAACTCTTTTCTTCTAACCAAATACATTTCAAACAATGAGCAACAAATTCTTCACAGTTGTCCATTATAATGGAGAAATTCTACAAACTGATGTTGGTGTTGTGTTTAAGTCACACAGGCCCATCAATATAATGTTCCCTATAGATATATCTCATCACTAAATGAAGCAAAAAATTGAGAGAAAACTTATGGCTTATGTTTTATGTTTAAGTTATAGGAACTTGATATCCTCAAATCCAATGACATATGGAAAATTCTAGCTTCATGATGATGATGTTGTTGTTGTTATGTTTGGACTTCATTAATCATCAAATAATAATATGGTGGAGATGTACATCAAAACCACGATTACAACTGATATTCCGACCTTATCAGTACCAGCTCGAAGAACAGAAGAGGCAAGCCCTTCTGAACCACATACAAGTGATGGTGATGTTAACCTTGTTGGACGGTTCGGTGAAAGTATTGATGAATTTTGCGAAGATGATGAAGATATTGTTCCATTGGTAGACGATGATGACACACCATTAGTTGATTTCAGAGGGACAATGTGTGGATGTTGAGGTTAATGTATGGGAGGTAGCTTTTCAAGATGTCAAGGATTGTAGAATGTTCCAAATGTTTGCGCAAAAACATACCCTCAAACTGAAATGCCTCGCCAGGATTTGCCTCAGTATCATCATGCATTTCCAATGCATGACATTAACTACAATGCTATGTGGAATCCTGAAATATATGATATGCCAGAGTTATGTCCATTGGGGTTCTTTAGACGAGCGGTCATATGAGTTGGCCATTGGATCTCAGGTTGAAACAAAAAAGAGGCACAACTAGCAATCAAGGAGTACTGCATCAAAGCTCATTTTCAATTCTATATGGCGGAGTCAGATCAAAACTTATTCCGTATGGTGTATACACCATGATGTTGGTTGTAAATGGAGGATACGAGTATCATACCTACAACGGAAGATGTTGTGGGAAGTCACAAGGTTCAATGCACAATACACATGTACAATGACCTCGTTGACATAAGACCACAGACATTTAGATTCGGATGTCATATGCTCTTATGTGAAGCTGTTGGTGGAAAAAAATCTAAGAGTGACTGTTTCTGTGTTAGTGGCATCCATTCAGAATACATTTGGTTATATTCCGGCTTATTAGAAGGCATAGATGGCTAAACATAAATCAATGACCTTGTTCCATAGTGATTGAGATCAGTCATATAATGAGCTACCAAGTTTGCTGCAAGCAATGAAATTTTTCATCACCGGAACCATTGTTAGGTATTATACTCATCCTACAGACACGCTTGAGGGAGACGCTATCCCCGAGAAGAGAATTTTTGGTGGCTTGTTCTGGGCGTTTAAGTCAGCTATCGAAGAGTTTAGATTTCGCAAATAAATGATTCAAGTCGATAACACTTTTTTTTATGGGCTCTACAGACACGTCTTGATGATAGTCGTTGCACAAGATGGAGAGAAAAATATTTTCCCCATTGCTTTCGCCATTGTTAAAAATGAATTGGAGGAAACTTGGAATTTATTTCTCTCCAACTTGCATTCCTATGTTGTCACTCAAGATGGGGTTTACATGATCTCAGATCAATCATATGGGTTGATAAGCATAATTTCTAGACCCAAAAATAGATGGATGCCTCTGCACGCATATCATGCCTATTGTATACGTCATATTACATCAAATTCAATGACGAGGTTTAACCACAAAAATATCAAAAAAGAGATTATCAACATGGGTAAGTATTATATCATTTCTCATTAATTGTTTTTACTTTATTTATTTTTTTATTATTTCTCAATAACATTTAATTTACTTATTTTTAGGGTATGCTTTACTCCAACCAAAATTTCATGCACGTCTTGAAAATTTGAGAAGATACAGAGATGATGTGTATGGATTCACAGCTAAAATCCCTAGGGAGAGATGGTCACAAGCATATGATGTTGAGGGTTGACGTTATGTCTATATGACTACCAACCCTGCTGAATGTATCAACTCAGTGCTGAAAGGGACTCGAAATCTCCCGATAGCAAGTATTCTTAGGGAGACTTACTTTAGGTTGACTAAAGTATGGACAGACAAAAGTGCACAAATTGATGCCATGATCAACGACGGGAGAAATTGGGCTCCAGATTTAGAGAAGGCAATGCAAAAGAATAAAACACATGTGACATCAATTTTTGTCCATAAGTTTGCCAGACTTTATTCTGATTTCGCTATCCAAGCACTAGTTCGACCACATTATGGAGGTAATTCTACAACATACACTGGTAATCTGAATAGAAGATGGTGTTACTATGGTCAATTTCAAGCTTTTAGGTTCCCATGTGCTCACGCTGTGTTCCATGTATGCGCATCAATGTTGACCCATACTTATATTATGATGATTGTTATAGCTTGCACACTATGTGCAACATTTACAGTTGTGAGTTCAATTACCTCCCAAATGAAGCATACTGGCCTACATGCTCAATTTCTAAGGAATGATTGCCAAATTCTCAATTGTGTAGTAAGTTACGGGGTCGACCTGAATCTAGAAAAATTTATACCGATATGGATGATACACAAAGAGAGCCAGGTCTACCCAAACTTTGTGGCCATTGCATAGGTGAAGGTCAAAACAGAAAACATTATCCACATCTTCCAAAATATCGAGCTGGAGGCTAAAATAAGCGTTACAAAATATTATGTAATGTAACTATGTGTTTTTTGTAATCTAAGTATGTTTTTTAACTATTTTTTTTAACTTGTATTATGTTAAACCATGTTTTGTAATATTTTGATGTAACAAATTAAGGAAAAATGTTTTTGACTTAATTGAATTTGTTTAAAGTCTTCAAAAGTTTTAAAAAATAATTCATTGTCCATTTAAAGTGAA